ACATATAGGTGTGGCAAGTATTTGGGTCTGGGGTGCATGCTGGGATGAATTGAGATATTCAATGTTTTCACAACTCTAGGAGGATTTTTGGGACAAACATTACCTAAAGATCACATTATTTTTTTTTAATTTAGGGTGTTGAGGGAGTTTTGAAAACTGGTGGGAGGGGATCAGAAGCCTTAAAATTAGATTCTAGAGGTCACAGCATGTCCACACCTGTGTTGGTTCAACCAGGAAAGTATTAAGCTCAAAGTGAAATAGCTATAAAGTACAGAAGGAGTAGGACGAACAGTATAGTGAGGCTGGTGAAATGACTGGACTGGAACAAATGCCATCATTTTCATATTTTAATGGTTCCAATGTTCCCAAATACCAGTCGCCCTTTCATTCTCTTTTCTCTTCTTGCTCAAATGTTTTCAACAGTCTTGTACACAATGTCAACAGTGCAGGAAAAACTATGTTCTTGGGGGTTGGCAAGTTATGTTATCTGCCCTTAAAAGCTGGCAAGTTGTCTCCGCAAACCTTGTAAGTGCTTGAAATTTTGTGCTGTTGAGGGCCAACACAATCTGGAAACTCTTCAGAATACAATCCTCTTTAATCAATATTAATAACTCGCAGGGTTACGTCCTCTGCACTTCCTAGAAGCATTCACGTTCCAGAAGCATTCACGTTTTGCACACATCTATGGGAGGCATTCTCAGATGTTGTGGAGTATAGTGTCTAGATCCAGAGAAGTCGTGCTACCCCTCTATTCTGCCTTGGTTAGACCACACCTGGAATACGGTGTCCAATTCTGGGCAACACAATTGAAGAGATATATTGACAAGCTGGAATGTGTCCAGAGAAGGGCGACTAAAATGAGCAAGGGTCTGGAGAACAAGCCCTATGAGGAGAAGCTTAAAGAGCTGGGCATGTTTAGCCTTCAAAAGAGAAGGCTGAGAGGAGACATGATAGACATGTATGTATAAATATGTGAGAGGAAGTCATAGGGAGGAGGGAGCAAGCTTCTTTTCTGCTTCCCTGGAGACTAGGACGCGGAACAATGGCTTCAAACTACAAGGAAGGAGATTCCATCTGAACATTAGGAAGAACTTCCTGACTGTGAGAGCTGTTCAGCAGTGGAACTCTCTGCCCCGGAGTGTGGTAGAGGCTCCTTCTTTGGAGGCTTTTAAACAGAGGCTGGATGGCCATCTGTTGGGAGTGCTTTGAATACAATTTTCCTTCTTCTTGGCAGGGGGTCGGACTGAATGGCCCACGAGGTCTCTTCCAACTCTATGATTCAACAAACGTCACAACTATTGAGGATGCCTGCCATAGATGTGGGCAAAACGTCAGGAGAGAATGCTTCTGGAAGTGTAGAGGATGTAGCTTGCTTTATTGAAGGGAACAACTGCATTCCTATATACAGTGTTTGGATACAAATATTAGCCCAAATTCTGTCTTAAAGAATACTGTGAACTGTGTTCCTCGAAAGGGATTTCTGGGTTTCACAAGATCTTACATTTCATTCAGTCAGTGAGTTTTTTTTTTACAGTATCGATTTACCAGTAGTCAAAGCTCTGCTTAGTAACAAGAAGAAAAATACATTTAGGCATACAGTTGAAGATGCTAAAATTAAATATGATAAGAACTGCCTCATGGAAGCATATGATCAAGCACATTTTGAGATATGAATGCTATCTCCCAACTAGGAGAAAAGCATGACCCAAATAAATAAATAATAAAAGCTATCAGTTCTTACAAAGATATCTCAGGGAAATTCTGGCCCTAATGTGCTTCCGATAAACATATGGCACACTGGGTTGCAGTGAGTTTTCCGGGCTGTATGGCCATGTTCTGGAAGCATTCTCTCCTGATGTTTTGCCCACATCTATGGCAGGCATCCTCAGAGGTGGTGAGGTCTGTTGGAGACTAGGCAAGTGGGGTTTATATATCTGTGGAATGTCCAGGGTGGGAGAATGAACTCCTGTCTGCTTGAGGCAAGTGTGAATGTTGCAATTGATGACCTTAATTAGCATTTAATGGCCTTGTAGCTTCAAAGTCTGGCTGGTTGCTGCCGGTGGAAATCCTTTGAGAGAAGCCATTGAAATCCACAAGCATGTGGACAATTTCAACAAAGAGGAGGAAACCATGAAAATAAACAAAATCTGTCTACCAGTATTTTGAAACACTCTAAAATCAGACAGTAAATAAAGAGCAACACTCAAAAAGCAGGGGAATCCCAGACAAGAATCAATCAGAGCCAGCTAACACTTCCCAACAAAGGATCAAGGTGCTAATCAAGGTGGCCAATTGCAGCATTCACACTTGCCTTGAGAAGACAAGAGTTCTTTCTTCCACCCTGGACGTTCCACAGATATATAGACCTCACTTGCCTAGTTTCCAACAGACCCCACAACCTCTGAGGATGCCTGCCATAGATGTGGGTGAAATGTCAGGAGAGAATGCTTCTGGAACATGGCCATGCAGCTCAGAAACTCATCTCAACCCAGTGATTTTGGCCATGAAAGCCTTTGACAACATATGCCACACTTCTAGGAGAGTAGATGTAATCTACTGATAATTAGAGATTTCTATTCACAGGGATGAGACTGTTCAAGGTTTGTCACAGTGCTTCTTCCATTCCATTCCCTGCGATAATATTCCACATCACCACATGCTTCAACAACTTGTTCATTAAACAAAACTGCTGGCATATACTGCAAAGAAAGCAATCATTTTCAGCCAGGAGCAAGAACAAAAACATTGGAAAAGCCGGACTCCTTTTGTGTTCAAGGCTATTGGAAAGGTTTTTTTTTTCTTGGATCACCTTATGAGGTTAATTATATTTAAGATAAGTGCCTTGCTTTGCTGTAATCTGTGTTTAAACAAATACAACACATTCGCCACTCAGCTGTTGGATTTCAGGAGTCAGGCTATTCTTAAAGACACAGGAGTAAGGCTGGAAAGAAAACAGATCCAGCCAGCAATCCTGCCAGCAAAGGAAGCGAGAGATGCTGTGGTATGAAGGCAATATTGCTGAATTGCTGATTGCCCAATATATGGACAGGCACCCTACCTACTTCACAACAACCAAACCAAAGCTATCCATGTCATGCTACCATTTGTGTCTTGAGAATACCCCATAGTGTCTACATAAAATAAACCATAACTTCCTTCTGGATATACATCCAAATCCAAGCAGGCTCGGTTTCTTCACAACACAGAACACTCAAGCATTAAGAAGCAGAGTTTTGTTTGTTTAAAAACCAAACCACAAGTATTGTTGAAGGCTTTTATGGCTGGAATCACTGGATTGCTGTGATCAAGGTGGCCAATTCCAACATCCACATCTGCCTCAAACAGACAAGAGTTCTTTCTCCCACCCTGGACAGTCCACAGATATATCAACCCCACTTTCCTTATTTCCTCACAACCTCTGAGGATGCTTGCCATAGATGTGGGCAAAATGTTAGAAAGAATGCTTCTGGAACATGTCCATAGAGCCCAGAAAACTCACAGCAATACAAAACACAAGTGTTGAGTCATTTGTGGTTAAACCCTTGTGCCGGCAGGACTGCTGACCAATAGGTCAGCAGTTCAAATCCAAGGAGAGTGGGTTGAGCTCCCTTTGTCAGCTCCAGCTCCCTGTGTCAGGACATGAGAGATGCGTCCCACAAGGATGGTAAAACATCAAACATCCGAGCGTCCCCTGGGAAACGTTCTTATGGACGGCCAATTCTCTCACACCAGAAGTGACTTGCAGTTTCTCAAGTTGCTCATGACATAAAAAAATTGTGGGAATGTCTCTTTTCCCAGATCACTACAGCCTGCTGAATGAACCTTTTGCTCTGAGGTACCGGGTGCATTACACAGGAGAATGAGTGGAGTTTGTCACCCCTTACACTCTATATCTCACTACTTTGGAATTCTGGGAGGTGCCGTTTGCACGGCTGGATAGAGAAGGCGAAAAACCTTGCAAAGCTACAGTTCCCATGAGTCCATATCAGGTGCCAAACTGCATTCATTCCACAGTGTAGATCAGGTATGGGCAAACTTGGGCCCTCCTTCCAGGTGTTTTGGACTTCAACTCCCACCATTCCTAACAGCCTCAGGCCCTTTCCTTTCCCTCCTCAGCTGCTTAAGCCCTTGCAAAACTACAGTTCCTATGATTCCATAGCACTGAGCCATGACAGTTCAAGTAGGTGCCAAATCGCATTCATTTTACAGTGTAAATCAGGTATGGGCCAACTTGGCCCTCCAGGTGTTTTGGACTTCAACTCCCACCATTCCTAACAGCCTCAGGCCCTTTCATGTTCCTTGATTCGTGTCAGGGCAATCGTTTGGTGGTCCCTATGTAGACTTGTCCACAGCTGCATGGTACACGGTAGACTCCTACAGAGGTGAGAGGATCCCTTTTGTCCTTTGCTGAACGTAGCATTTGTTGGATTTTCTTGGTGGGTCTGAGGGGGAAAAGGAAAAGGCCTGAGGCTGTTAGGAATGGTGGGAGTTGAAGTCCAAAACACCTGAAGTGCCCAAGTTGACCCATGCCTGGTGTGGATGTAGTCTACACAAACCTTCCTGCCTATGAATCAATGGGGCTGGAGTAATTTCCAAGTTTCCACCCACCTAAGGACCTCATCATACTTGAAAATGAATCAAATTTAAATCCTGCAGAATTCTGGGCATTGTAGTTTAGCCTTTAACAACCTCACCGAACTACAAACCCCAGAATTCTGCAGGAGGCAGAACCCAGATTGAAAGAGGATTCATTCTCTAGTGTGATGAAGTTGTAAGTTGAGGAAGGAGAGCCCTTCGGATCAGAGTAGCATGAGAGAAGAGGAGACCCAAGGCGGATCAGGGGCACCTGTGCAGGTGATGAGCCAAGCAGCCTTGGTGGATGCTCAGAGGAAGGGAGGGAGAGCATTGGAGAGCATCCTCCTTCTTCCTTCCAATCCAGAGGGGACTCTGGAGGGTGGGAAGGGGAAGGAAGGAAGGAAGGGGGGGAGCGGTGGCCTTACTTCCGCTTGAAGATGCCCCCCAAGCAGCTTCCGAGGAGGAGGCAGAACTGCTGGGAGAAGAAGACCCAGGTGATCTGGGAGAGGGAGCTCTGGGTCTGGCAGCGCAGGTCGAGCAGCGTGGGCCCCAGGAAGGCGAGGCAGAGGCCGAAGCTGAAGAAGACGCTCCAGTAGGTCAGCGTGGGCTGCAGGTGCCGCTGGAAGAGCGCCGACACCCGCGCGTCCCACCACCACATCCTCGCCCCGCCAGGCCCGCCCGAGAAGGAGCAGCAGCAGGCGGCGGCGGCGGGGAAGGAGGACGACGACGACGAGGAGGAGAAGAAGAAGGCGCTCCTTGCCTCTCTCTCTCTCTCTCTGCCTCCCAACCGAGAGGGGAGGGGGTCGTCGTCGTCTCCCCCGAGTCACGTGCTCCTGCTCCGCTCCGGACCCCCGCCGCCTCCGGACGGCGACGCCCTAAAGCCGGATCCACGCGCGGAGCCGACCCACCGCGGCTCTCCTTCCTTTCCTTTTCTTTCCTTTCCTTGCCTGCCTCCTTCCTTCCTTCCTTCCTTCCTTCCTTCCTTCCTGCTGGGATCCTTCTGGCCAACACCTGCGCGCCGGATCCCTCCCCGCCCCTCTGCCAGCGCCCACGATCTCGCCGTCCCGGATCCCGCCTCGGCGCGGCACCCACGGCTCTCTCAAAGCCCCGTCTTTCTCTCTCTCTCTCTCTCTGCCCTCAAGCTGAAGCCCCTCGGTGGAGCCTGTCCTGACAGCCCCCCGGGCACCTGAGGCGGGGTTCAGGGCGGATCAGCGCCACCTGGGGACGCCTCCGTGGAAGTGGCAGCCCTGGCTTTCTCCGCTCCCCAGTCCGTGCGTGGCCACAGACCCCTCGTTGCTGTGTGTCTTCAAGTCGTTCCCGATGTATGGCGACTCGTAGGAGAAACTGTCAGAGTTCTGTCGCAAAATATCAATAGACTCTCAGTTAACCGGCAACCTTCTGGTTGCTTGAGAGTTGCTATAAAATAGAGCTAATACTATATACCCCAGGCCTGAGCAAACTTTGGCCCTCCAGGTGTTTTGGACTTCAACTCCCACAATTCAGGATTGTGGGAGTTGAAGTCCAAAACACCTGGAGGGCCAAAGTTTGCCCAGGCCTGAATTATACCTCATACTATAACCATAACCCAAACTCTGTATTGTCATGATATTCACATTGAAATACAGTCATTAAAAGTCAATGAAGACAAATAAAGACAAGCTTAATGTAACAGAGTTTTATTTATTCCTAGCTGTACCCTGGCCACGCGTTGCTGTGGCCTGGTCTGGTGAGGGAAGGAAGGAAGGGGGGAAAAAAGAAATGAAGGAGAAGGAAGGAGGGAGGGAAAGGAAGGATGGAAGGGAGGTATTGAAGGAAGGAGGGAAAGGCAGGAAGGAAGGAGAGGAGGAAAGAAGTAAAGGAAGGTGAAGGAAGGAAGGAAAGGGAGGAGGGAGAGAAGGAGGAAAGGAAGGAGAAGGAAGAGAAGAGAGGAAGGGAAGGAAGGAGGGAGGGAACGTGGGAGTTGAACTGGATGGCCTTTGGGCCACTCTTCCAACTGGTTGGCTATCCATCGTGAGTGCTTGATGGTGTCTTGGCCTCCCCTTCCTCCCATCTCTTTCAGTTCTGGAGACCCCTTTGGGCTGCAGCATCAATCCTTTGCCCACCATGGTCCCGTCCAGGGGATGCTAGGAGCTGCAGCCCAGCTGCAGGGGAATGAGGGCCAAGGGCAATCCTTACTGGGGTAGTAGGCGTAGGGCAAGTGCAGGTATTTATTATTATTTATTTAAAACATTTATATTCTGCTCTTCTCACCCCAAAGGGGACTCAGGGCAGAGCACAGCATATACACGGCAAACATTCAATGCCGGGACACAGATTCACATACAATACATAAACATTAAAAAACATTTATCAAAATATTAAAATACACCATTTAAAACCATCCTAGCCATCCACATCAAATCCAATTGGCCCTATCATCTTTCCCACTGCCGCTTCATTGCCCTGTCCTGAAAGTTTGGTCCCACAGCCAAGTTTTTACCATCCTTCTAAAGGACAGGAGGGAGGGGGCCGACCTGATCCCACCAGGAAGGGAGTTCCATAGCTGGGGAGTAATCACCGAGAAGGCCCTGTCTCTCATCCCCACCAATCGTGCCTGTGACAATGGCGGCCTCCCCGGAGGATCTTAATCTCTGTGATGGTTCATAGGGGGAGATGCGTTTGGACAGGTAATTTGAGCCGGGGCTGTTTAGGGCTTTATAGGCCAAAGCCAGCACTTTGAATTGTGCCCGGTAGCAAACTGGCAGCCAGTGGAGCTGGCATAACATGGAAGTTGTATGCTCCCTGTATGCCGCCCCAGTTATTAACCTGGCTGCCTCTCGTTGGACTATTTGAAGCTTCCGAGCAGTCTTCAAAGGCAATCCCACGGTAGGCAAGGGGCAGGAAGGTCCCACGGAGCCTGTGGCTGCTGTGTGCCCGCTGCCCTCCCTTGGCCTTCTGCCGCTTGGGCACCTGCCCTGCCAGGGGACTCCTAGCCTCCTCCCCCTCATGCTCCCCTTTGGCATAGCGCCTTCTCCTCCTTAGGTAGGTGCTTCTTGAGGGTGGCAAGGGACCCCTCTCCCTCGCTGCTCTTCCTCCAAGTCCTCAAATCCAACGGCAGCTCCTTGGCCATCGGCTCCCCAAACTCCCTGAAAATCCATTTTCCTCCAAAGCTTGAAAAACACCTTCTTTGAACCCTCTTCTTCTTCCTCTAAAAGCCTCTATCTCCTCCTTCCTAGACTGGAGCAGCTTTTGGTTTGTTTTCCCTCGCGCAGGCGGGAGGGGAGTCATTTGTGCGCATATTTTGTATCATCTTCTAGCTTTTTTGGATTTTTAAGTCCTTGTCACTTATTTTTGGTGGGTTTTTTTAGTGATGGTCACTTGTTGGGTTCTTATGTGTCTTGTGGTCAAATTTGGTGTCAATTTTTCCAGTGGTTTTTGAGGTATGTTAATCTCACAAACTAACATTACATTTTTATTTATATAGACCAGTTTAAGGACCCGGCACTGCTCGTGTTATTAGGCATTTTTTGTTTTGGGATGTTAGGTAATGTCACTGAAGTTTGGTCCAGATCCGTCATTGGCTAGGTTGAGCGCTCTCTGGATAAGGGTGAACTATAATTCTCAAATTCCCAGGGTAATCACCCCCAAACCCTGACAGTTTTTGCAGTTGGCCATGCTGGGTCTGTGTGCTAAGTTTGGTTCAGATCTGTCGTCAGCTGGATTCAAGGCTCTCTTGATATGGATTAATTCTTTCCAAATCTCTTGTTAAGATGCTAATCAGTTCCTTTGTTTGTTGTGTGCCATAGGAAAGGATAGGAAAGTGTTAAGTGAGAGGCAGTGTGCATGGTCATGCAAATTCCACAGCAATGGAGAGAGAAAGGAACCCTGAGATATGGAGGAAAAACAGAACATCAAGGATGAAATTGTCACCATATGAAAGCCTTCACTTGGGTGGGGGCGGTAGTATAGTGTTTGTGGAGGCAGGGGCAGCTCAACCCATTACCCAAAGTAAGCATTTGCAGTATAGTTCATTTTGCCCAGGGGCGCTCTTGAGGCGCTCTTAGGGGAAAATAGACCTTGACATATGCACGTTGTAGTTACTGGGATGTATAGTTCACCTAAAATCAAAGAGCATTCTGAACTCCACCAGTGATGGAATTGAACCAAATATGGCACACAGAACTCCCATGATGAACAGAAAATATATATCAGTGATTGATTTTGGGGGGGGGGGGGGGAAATACTGTTTGCTTACCATTGAAAATTACCTAGGGCCGCCTCTGTGTGGAGGACACTGGCAGAATTTGGGTTATATGTTCATGGTGCTCACTATAACCTGCAGTATCAGTGGAGGGAGGGACATGGGTGTCTCCTGCTCAGTGGGAACTGTTTGTGGAGGCAGGAGTATGTCTGCTACATACACACATACACATTTCCCCTTTCATTATGTGTATAGATAGAAGATGTGTACAGATGGATTACAGCATTTCTATCCCGCCTTTCTCCACCCCGGATGCCTTCCAAAACAATGTACAGTTAAAATAAACATTTAAATAGGATTATAAAATACATTAAAACATTTAAACATATAAAACAATGCCTTCACCATTAATCACATGATCCAAAGTCATAGTCTGGGCCATTCCATTAGTTGTTGTACATAATTCCAATTTTATCTATTGCACAGGATCTCCAAAGGCTTGATCAAAAAGCCATGTTTTTACTTTCTTATGGAAGGTCAGGAGTGAGGGGGCTGATCTAATATCCCTAAGTAGGAAATTCCACAGCCAAGAGGCCACCACTGAGAAGGCCCTGTCTCCCATCCCCATCAGTCGCACCTGCGAAGGAGGCAGGGCCAAGAGCAAGGCCTCCTCAGATGATGATCTTAAGCTCCAAGATGGTTCATAGGGAGAGATCTGTTTAGACAGGTAAGCTGGGCCAGAACTGTTTAGGGCTTTATAGGCTAAAGCCAGCATTTTAATTATGCTCTGTAGCAGACTGGCAGCCAGTGGATCTGACGTAACAGAGGGGTTGTGTGCTCCCTGTGTGCCTCCCCGGTGAGCAATCTGGCTGCCACCCATTGGACCAGTTGAACTTCCAAACAGTCTTCAAAGGCAACCCCACATAGAGTGTGTTGCAGTAGTCTATTCGGGAAATGACCAGAGTGTGGACCACCATGGCCACATCTGACTTCCTAAGCTATGGGCACAACTGGTGCACACAGATTTGGCAATGAATGTTAGCCACTTGGTTACTTTTGTCTTGAGAGTTCTAATTGCTTGAGTTCTGGTTAACTGAGAGTCCCTTTGCCTTCCCACTGAGGCTGAGCATGCCAAAGATCACCCAGGGAGTTTCCATGATCCAACACAGATTTCAATACTGTTTTGGAGTCATATTCCAGTAAACCACCACACCATCCTGGCTGCTATAATTACCCTAGGGATAGTGAAGTACTTTACCTGCACTGAAACCATAGCATAGCTGCCAGTCTGCTACCAAGCACAATTCAAACTGCTGGATTTAGCCTATAAAGCCCTAAACCAGAGGTTCTCAACCTGTGGGTCCCCAGGTGTTTTAGCCTACAATGCCCAGAAATCCCAGCCAGTTTACCAGATGTTAGGATTTATGGGAGCTGGAAGCCAAAACATTTGCGGACTCACAAGTTGTGAACCACTGCTCTAAACTGTTCTGGTCCAGCTTAGCTGTCCAATTGTATCTCCCTCTATGAACCATCTCAGAGAATAAGATCTGGCCAGGCCCTGCTCTTGGTTCCACCTATTTCGCAAGTGTGACTGGTGGGGACGAGAGACAGGGCCTTCTCAGTGGTGGCCCCTTGTCCATGGAACTCCCTTCCCAACGAAATTTGATCATCCCCTTCTCTATTGACCTTCAGGGAAAAAAACAACTTAAGACATGACTTTGGGACCAAGCTTTTGACAAGTAAATGGAACAATGCAGTAAGTGACTAAGAATCAATGTGACTGACAAATGGAATGGCCCTGGATTATGTTTTGGATTATGTGGTTTTAATTGTTTGGTTTTAATTGTACTTTATGTGTAATTTATTTTATGTGAGTATGACATCAAATTGCTGCCTGTTGTAAGGCTGCCTTGAGTCCCCTCTGGAGTGAGAAAGGTGGGATACAAATATGGGAAATCAATCAATCAATCAATCAATCAATCAATCAAATTTTCCCGGGGCGGGGGTGTCTTTGTTCCCCTGCCCTGAACTGAGAATGGAAGATGTGATCA